ACAGCGACAACAGCAGCATGAAAATGGAAAATGCATTGAATTTTCCGGCAGCAAAACAAGCCGCCGTCGCCGCCGCCTGTTGTTGGAGCTGCTTGGGGCACTGGCCAGCAATTTTTACTTGGCTTTTGTATTTTTTTTTTTGATGGCAGCCAAAGCCATAAAATGCATTTCATTGTCGCTTTCGTTTTCATTGGAGTTCAATGTCCCGACCACGAAGCGCATAAATTTTGCATTGTCGCTGCCCCTTTTGGCCCCGCCGTGTGACGGGCCCAATAATATTGCCATAAATTTGCCTATGCCCAGCTAAGCGACAGCTCCGGCTGAGTAATTGGCTAAACAGGCAGCCGGAGATTGCGATTTTGAGCTACCTTTGCAGTTCGGATAGATACACACACACACACACACACACCGTTGAGACCCAAAAAGTATATTTGATCTGCGTGAACCCGAATGAGTAACGGCATTAATTTTGTTGCCAGCTGAGTTATATGTGTTCATAACAAACCAGACAGTCAGACAATTAGTCAGACAGACAGATATAGACTGTCAGTTAGTTAGTTACACGTGCAGATTGTGCAAGGCTCTTGGAAAAACTTCATTAAAATGCCAGCTCGTTTCATTATGTTACACTTGCAAAGGGTATCATTAATATGTCATAAAATATGCAAATAGCTTTTGCTTTTATCGGTTGCAATTTGTTATTAAAGTTTTGATCTGGAAGATTCATTACGCGGCAAACAATTTGGCATATTTAATCGAAAGTGGCTCACAGATCGGTTCACTAAGTGGTTCAAGGCTGCGAACCGGCTGCGAAGTAAACCTCAAACTGCATTAGTTAGATTAAGAAAAGTCGAGCCTTATCTTGAACTGAATTGAACCAATTATTTTGAAAAAAAAACGGTTTGGTTCAAAAGATTGAAATTTCTTGGTTTCCAAAAATACTTCTACATATATGTAAAACTCTGGGGATAGTTAGATAGAAAAATAATTTATTATTAATATTTAAGAAAATATTAATCTCTATACCGAGCGGCTGATTGGTCATCAACGCATAGTCCAAACCATTAAAGCTACGATGATGAAATTTTCACTATAGTTGCTTATTGCAAGTGTAGAAAAATCGCGAAAACTTCGTGGTAAAATTCATATAGTATAAATAATTATTGAAGAATTTGAGGGTTTCATTTCGTTATTGACATGGAACATATCGACTAGATTATGTGTATAACTTATTTAATCAAATACTTCTTACCTTTAGCTCTTTGTGTATATGATTAGCTTAGACTATATCTAATAAATACTTAATGCAAGGGTATTTCATTTTCGGCTCTACTTTATTTTTGGGCTTTTTTGCTTGACAAAATTGTTGCTTTATGTGTTGCAATCGGCTGCGTTGCATTTCAATTAGTTAGCGGCCGTCAATTTGGCAATTGGAAATTGGCAACTGTTGACTCATAATTTTCGAGCGATCGGATCAGTTGCTGCCCCCAACTGACGCATATATTTTGGGTCCATTGCCAAACGTGCAGCCTCCGAGGCGCAATGCGTTGGACTTGCTCTGATAATTTTGAGAGCTGTTGTGCGCTGCACTTTTCGGGCTTGTATCTTTTTTCGTGCCCATAAGTATCTGTATCTGCAGGCGTTGCCACAAGTATCTGCGCCCGTCCCACACCCAAGTCGAGTCACATTTGGTGTTGAAGCCAACAAAGCGTGGCATACAGCTAGACAAAAACAGCGAGGCGTTGAGTTTGCCAGCCAATTGCAATTAAAAACTTAGCTCGCATTTGAGTTTTTTGTATTTTGTTTATATGTCTCTGTATTTGTATCTGTATCTGTATCTGTATCTGTCTCTGTCTCTGTATTTGTATTTATATTTTTATTGTTTGCTGCATTACAACATGACAGCATGCTGGAGAGGGCCTCAGTTAACTACTTATTGTGCATTAACCGTTCAAGTCTATCATTATGTGCAAACATGCAAATATATATATGCAAATATACTCTAGCAAGGCCTCAGGTATTAAAGATTTATAAAGCACCTGAAAAAAGAATGAAGCAAGTGACATTTATAAGGATTTAATTGAATTTAAAAAATAAAATAAATGTGTTATTAAATGTAACAGAAATAAACAAGGTGAAAATGGTCTGAAAATGAAATTTCATAAATGCCAAGCTTCAAGTCAGAACCAAATGTGTAGTCTTTATGAAAATTAATTAATTGCTGACTAAGTTTAGTTTGTGAAAATCTTCTTTTTTCATAGCAGCAGTAGTTACTAGTTATATAAATGGTCCAACTCCTATATAATAATTCAGAATACAATAATGCAAACGAAGAAATCAGTTCAGAGCGTAGTAAAAGATGAAGTATGATAATGTGATGTATGAAATATGACATTATATTATATTATGTGCCAAATACGACTCTTGAAACTCTCTCAGAAATTCTCAGCCCAGACGCTCTGTGTTCAAGAGTTATACTAGCTGCCTTGAACATAACTTGATTTGCTTTATTTGGTAATTGTAAAATCTATGAAAAACTTTAAGCTTAGCTGTTGTGCTCTTTACCCTATTTGCTGTCTAACAAATACAATTGCACAATAGGCCAGATGTATTTACAATTAGTTGAGAGTATTTAATTGTCAGTACATCGTGTGCCATATTTTTGGCTTATTATTTTGTAATAAGTCAACACCTTTTCAACATAATTTGCATATTTCTCTTTGCAGTTTCTCAAAAATCCCATTAAGAAACAAAACGAAGCTCATTTGGACACTTGAATTTGCATTGTTGTTGCCGCTGTTTATGGTGAGTTTTTTTTTTTTTTTATTTACTCAATTTGATATTATGGGCGCGACCCTGTTGTTGGTTATTTGGTGTGGGCGTGTCGGCGACAATTGGGCACACACCCAGGCAATCAAGACAGTCGATGAGGCAATGTCAATGCCAGCAGAATTGATCCCAATCCGCACAAATTGAAAGCTGTTGTTGCGGTGTAATTGAACAGGGCCTTAAGACTGGAACGGATTGTAAGCCGCTTAGTAATTATTTTTTTATTGGAGCATGCCATACGTTAGGCAGGCAACGTATTGTTGGTTTTGGCCAAAAGGCAACGTACATCCGGCTGGTTGGCTGCCCAACCGCAGCGCCATTAAGCTGACCAACTGCAATTAATTCAAGGCTAAAAGCCACAAGATCGTCGAAAGACGCCCCCATATGTTGTTGTTAACTTTCTTTAAGATTACAAGATGTGTGCTACCCGAATGAAAGGGAAATTCAATTGCAGCTAGCCAAAAGTTACGACAGTTGCGCGACCGAGGGCATTGTCACATTTCACTTTCATTGAGAGAGATACAGATACAGATACAGATACTGATATAGAGATACAAAGATACACAGATACAGCTACAGCCAGACAATAAGTGCATATAGATGAGCATTTCAAGTGCAGGCCAATGTCTCTGGCGGGCTTGGAGTCAGTCGAGTGTGACAACGGGTTTGGCTAGCAGATAGATACCTCACGTCTTCCTCCGCCGATCCGGCAATACCCTGCTATTCAAAGTGACCGCAAGTGTGTCTAATTTCTATGATTTGTTTGCTATCTCTCTCTGTATCCCTCTCTCTCTCTCTGTCGCTCTTTGCTTGAGTTGAACTTTCTTCTTTCACTGTGCCACCTGTAGACCTCCACGAATGGATCTATCTGGCTCCTGCTCTGGGTTTGAGTTCCGTTTTTGTGGTTGTTACGATATTTCGCATATTTTGTTGTATTTTTTTCAGCTTTTGCTTTCGTTTAACCCATTTAATGCGGGTCTGGTCAGGTCTTGTCTGGTCTGGTCTGGTCTGGTCCGGTGCGGCATCCGTTATAAGCATGTGCATTTTTCATTTCAGCAACGGTAACAATAACAGTACACACACACACACACGCACACACATACAGAGAAGACATGTGCGCATTTAATTCAGTGGAAAAGTGAAAACGAAAGTGATCAGAGCTGCAGTTATCCAGTTAGCTGATCACTTGCTCACATGCTGAACCATCAACCAACACTGGTCAGTTGACTTTCGTTTTGGAATGTGTGTGTGTGTGTGTGTGTGTGCTGTATGTGGTGTGTGTGTACACCTTGATAATGATGATGCAATTAAAGGCAGCCCAGCCAAGACAAATTATCATATTGCCAATATGCAAAGTCAGCAATAAGGAAATCATTTGACCGCTTCAGTGCGTTCAGTGATCACTCATCAGTGATCAGTGATCAGCGATCATGGATCATCATTACAAATTGCAGACACTGTTTAGACTAATGCAATTTCTCGCAATGACCAAATGGTAGCAAGTGCAGCAATTATGGCAATTATTTGGCGGCAGTTATGGACCGTTAGGCTGCACTCGGCTCAGAGCTGCCGACTTGCTTTGGCCAAGTCGAAGACCGGCTGCTTGCTGCCAGTAGCCGGCAATTATCTGTCGTTGTGGCCTGAGCAACCTTTCACCTGCACCGACCTGGCAACGGATTTCGCATTCCTTCAAATGCAAATCAATGGAATGGTTGCCCACTGACCTTGCTTTGAAGTCTGCACGTGTCGTGACTGAGTTCTATAAAAGCTGGCTGCAGTTTTATATGATAATTGAATGGGGCGTATTATGAATGAAAGCTGGTCTCAAGAAATCTCAAGGCTATCAAACATTTTTATGAGGATTTTGTTATACGCACGAGGTGGGAATTCTTCTCCGAGAACTCTCAGCTCTCAATATTGTATAGTATTTTATCCCTTTAAAAATTTAAGGCTTTTATACTTCTCATCAATTACGTCGAAGAATACACGTATAAAAAGCAATCTAAATGATTTCCCCAATAGCTTTTCTTCCAAACGTTCTCTTATTCAAGATTTAACACGGTCTTCCCTAATTTGAAGATCACAACTTTGTCAGTTTTTTTTGGGAAGAGCTCGAATCACAATCTAACTCACTTACACTTTATTCTTTCCTTGTTTCAGGCACTTTGGCTATGAAGCGACGCATGCAACTCATCGCCGTTTGGCTGGGCCTTTTGGCCACAGCCACCTATGCACAGACGCAGCAGGAGTCCTCTGCTAAGTGGTCGCGACAGCTGGAATCTGTTGGCACCGGGGATACAGACGCGTTGGACTGGGTGCCGCTGGCACAACCGCTGGATGACAGCGGCAAGGATCGCTCTGGCAATGGGCGCGTGCTCACCTACTCGCAATCATTTCCGCCCAGTGCGCGTTTTGGTGATCTAGGCAAGCCAACTGGTTCGCAGTTTGACTTTCCGTATCAGTTCCAACGTTTTGCCAATGGCGCACCACAGGCGCTGCCCTTGCGTCACCAGGGCCCACCGCCGCTAAAGAGCAGCGCCGGGCAGGAGCCCACCTCACAGTCGTTCTTCAAGTTCGAGATGCCCTTCCACAATGAAGCCAATCAGCCTAATGCGCCGCCCACTCTGCAGACGGGCTATCAGATCCAGCATTCCTTTGGCGGCGGTGGCGGTCTGCCCGCACCTTCCTCGCTGTTCAGTCCACCCGCGCTCTTTGGCCAGCAGCAGCAGCAGCAGTTCCCAGACTTCCAAGCACTGCCACAGAAACCGCTCGCCCAGGCGCTGAGCAAGCCCCTGCATCAGCAGAACTATATACAGGATAATTTCCCCATTAAGTCCCATGGCAAGCCCTTGCCCACGCAGGCTTCTCTGCAGAGCGTCACCCCGCAAGTGTTTCCCGTGGATCCAGAGCCAGAATCGGTCTTTGGTTTGAACAAACCAGCTGCTCCTTCGTCTGCACCCTCCTCTAACAATCAGCAGCAGGAGGTGCAGCTACTCTATGTGCCCTATGAAACACTCTACAATCAGCAACGCCAGCCTCAGAGCTCCTCGGGTATCGGTTCGAGCAGCAGCTTTGAGGTGAACAAGTTCAATGTAAATGCTGGACTGCCCGCCGTCAATCCCTATCAGATCAATCAGTTCTACACCCAAGATCCGAGCGTGGGCAGCGACTTCTTTAGTTCCGGCACAACCGCACGACCTAGCAGCACCACCTCACAGCCGCAGCACATCTTCCAGAGCTTTGCACAGCCACAAGCACAGCCACAAGTACAGGCGCAGTCTCAGCCTCAATTCACCACGGCTAAGCCCAAGCCGAAAGCACATCAGCCCCCGCTGGCCATGTTCCTGTTGCGCACCAACGCACGGCCCACACAGTCGGATGTGGTAGCCGCCCTGCGGAATGCCCGCGCCATTTCGGTCATCGATGCGCCCACAAAACAGACGCCGGATATCTTTGTTGGACCTGCCGGCATGCCCATACCCGACGGCTATGTCAAGTTCGATCTGCCGTATCTGTCGCAGCTGGCGCACTCCCGCGACCTGCAGGATGTCTCCTTCTTCGTGGCACCGCTCAGCTACCGCACGCCCAACGGCTTCAATAAAATACTGCTGCCCGAGCCACATGTGGGTTCAATTGTGATCAATCGCGCCAAGGACAGCGCCGCCATACAGGAGCTCGTCCACCCGCAGCACGTACGTACGCAGCGTCCGCATACCACCACCAGCAGCACGCGCAATCCCTTCGAGACTTCCACCCAGCCGCAGAGAGCCGCCGCTAGTCCGGTACCCACGCGCGGCAACAAGTTCAGCTACTACTACGTGCAGGATGGCATACAGGAGGTCAGCTCGCCCAAGCAGCCCGCCAAGCAGGAGCGGCACAAGAAGAAGCGTCCACAGCATGTGCCCGTGGAGCAGCCCGTTTATCGTGCGCCTGCCAAGACGCCAAATCCCTTCGACACACTAAATCAAATCGGCGGCGAGGATTTCTTCAACACGCTCAGCAGCAAGCCCAGTACTTCAACTACCAGCTCCACTTCCACGACCACGTCAACCACATCGACTACTTCAACCACGGCCCCACCACAGACGCTGTTCACCTACGGCTCCAGGCCGCAAGTCGAGTTCCCTAGCTCGAATGGTCAACTTTATCCTCAATTCGACACGGCACCACAGCTGCAGCCGGTGCAGGAGCAGCTGCCACGCCTCACGACACGTCCGCCCACCGCAACCACAGCGGAGGAGGAGTTGCGCATGAAGCAGTACTTCCGCCAACAGGATGCCTTCCGTCAACGCCCACAAACCACCAATCCACCCTTCGAGCAGGTGCAGTACACGCCCTCTACCCAGGACTACGACGTACCACAACCCTCAACGACGCAGAAGACCAAACAACGGGTGACCATCTACACTCCAGGTGCAGTGCCTGTGACCACCTCCGATGTGGGCTACAATGTGGATCCACAGGGCCAGCCGCCGCTCAACCATCGTCCCAGCTACAATCAGAACGAGGTCATCGACAGCGGCAATGTGGAGTACGAGCCGAATCCCTACCACGTGCCATCCGAGCTGCCAGCGCTGACGCCGGATATTCCTGGTCTGGTCAACAATCTGCAGGAGAAGGACAAGGTGGCCGCGACCACAACACCGCTTAGCGAGCCGGAGCCGGAAACGCGTCCCACACGTCGTCCGCTGCTGCGCACTCGCAAGCCTGCCATCTCCAAGGTGGTGACCACCTCCTCGGTGTCCTATTCCGAGTCCGAGAACAGTGCCAAGCAGCCCACGCACCGTATCAGACGCCCCTATGGCAGCCGAGGCACCTCAGCAGCCGCCACAGGCAGCACAGACAATGGCGAGGAGGTGCACAGCACAACACGTCGTCCGGCCAGTTCGCGCAATCCTCTGCTGCGCAATCCCAATCGCATACGCTACCAACCCACCACAGAGGAGCGTCAGACGCTGAAGACCAAGAAGAAACACTACAAGGGCTCCAAGAATGGCAAGCCAAGTGAGGATCAGGATTTGGACTATCAGCGCGATGTGCTGAAGCAAAACTATCCAGTGTTCAAGGCGCCGTCTCGTCGTCCCACCAGTCCCACGGCCATACCCAGCTCCTATGATGTGGGCAACACCGAGGGACCCGCCTCCGAGACGCAGCAGGTGTACACGGTCACGCCCAGCAATAGCATTGATCAAGGAGATCAGGGCGTCTATGTGCCCAGCCTGCTGGAGCCTATGCAAATAGCCCAGCACTACAACGAGTTCTCCAAGGATAACTATGGACCCGGCTATTTCCCCAATCAGGAGGATCTGAATCCCACGGAAGCCATCGTGCGCAACGAAGTGAGCCCCATCTATACCACACTGGCCACGACCACACCCTCCACCACTACAACAACCACCACCACCACTGAGGCGCCTGTGACAACAACCACACGCCGCTCACCCTTCATACGCCGCAATTATCCAAGGGTACGCACCACCACAACAACTGAGCCGTCTGTGACCACCACCACTCCTTCGGAGGAGCGCCCATCTGTAAGTTCTTGAATCCTCCTCAAAAAGAATAAAATTTAACTTGCTTCTTCTGACAGATTCGCTCTCGCCTGCCGCCACGTCGCGTAGTCAAGGTGCGTCAACGCCAGCGCCGTCCAGCTCATCCGGCCTCCTCTACCGCTACCCCGGAGGAGGAAGTGGAGCAAGTTACCCAGAGGCAGAATCTGCGCAAGCTGAGCCGTTACAATCAGGAACAGTCTGAGAGAGAGGTGAGTACCCACTTGCTCCTAGGAATACATGGGAAACTATTAACCGTCGCACAACATCAGGCTCCACAGACGCCACGTCGTCGTTACAAGCAGCCCTTCCAGCTTGAGGGCCAGGAGTCCCAGTGGTCGCCAGCCTCGGAAACGGGCAACAGCAATACCAACAGCAACAGCTTCAAGCCTCTCAATCCCAAATATAGCTCCAAGAACGAAGCACACAATTTCGAGAATGAGCCGGAGATTGTGACGGCAGGACCCACAGGTCAACCGGAAACCTACGAATTCAACGTAGCTGCTAATCTTAGTGGATCGGGAGCTGCGCAGCTTACGACGCCCGCGCTGAAGGCGCCGAACCTAAAGTGAGTTCCCGAGCTAAGCCAGAAATTGAAAATATTGAAACCAATTTTCTTATTTGTAGACCCGAGAAATCCTTTGCGGAACTGCTGGAGGAGGTAATGGGCAAGGCACCCGAGGAGCTGGCCACCGAGACACCCACAAGCAGCACCATTGGACGCCTCAATAGGCGTGGCAAGTGGAAAAAGTCGCGCGTCTCAGGCGGTTCAGATAATGGGGAGAATTTCGAAACAGCCGAGTCCCAGAACCTGGGACCACAGCTCTACAATTCGCTGTATGCCGGCAGTGAGAAAAAAGAGGAGCCGGAGCTGAAGAACACCACACCAATGACACCAGCTACCGAGGCTCCAACAACCACCACCCCTGAAGTGGCCACCACCACAGCGACAGCCATCACAACGCCGGAGGAGTACGAGGTGACCACCGCCAAGACGCCCGATGCAACAACAATAGCCACAACGCTGGCCATGAGCGAGGAGAGCGCCACGCGCCGCATGGACACGGCTGCGGATGTGGATGACCTGGAGACGCAGCCGAGCATCTTCTCCGAGGTGCGACAGCAGCTGCACGATCTCTTCGCCATCGATGAGAGCGAGGATCAAGCAGTGACCGCTGCGCTGGCAGCCGTTGGCAAACGTCGCCAGGCATACACGAGCATCAAACGCACCAAGCCAGCCACGTCCGCCGAGAGCAGCACGCTAGCGGCCACGGAGGCGCCGGCCGAAGTGCTGGACACCACAACGGTGGCGACGCCTGCCAACGGCAAGGAGGATAACTTTCACAAGGACCTGATGGAGCACGTGGTCTATGCGACTTCCACCTCAACCAAAGTTACCTCCGAGACAGAGATCTGCTATCGCGGCCGTTGCATACGCTCCGAGGATCTGCCCGCCAATCACAAGCTGCACTGAGCGCCGCCACATTAGGGCACTCCCCATGTAAATACATAAGGACAAGCGATACGAGCGTGGAGGGAGGCTGTTCAGAGCACCGATCCGGAAAATAAGTTTTCCGACCGCAACGCATAAACGCCCGCCGTATCCGCTTGTAATTAGCTTTAAACTACGAATATGTTTTAGGGATTAAGCGCATAGAGAGTTATATATATTTGCATATATATATGCTTATCGTATTCTATCTATATATTCGAATTGTTCGAAAAACGTAGTAAATATCATAGTTAAAATAGTTAGTTGATTAAAATACGAGTACTTAATACATAATACCAGATAGGCAGCATAAGTTTTGTACAATATAATAATGAGAACTAACAAATAAAGAATCGAAATCGTTAAAAAAAAACCCCAGCCAGTATATATAAAATAGTATTTTGCTATAATTGAGAAGGGGCAACAGTCAGCAGCCGCAAAATAATCTTCCACAGAAACCAAAACTTCTAACATAATAATATGAATTGCCTGCACGAGTTATTTATGGTTTACAGTCTGGAAACTGGGCACGTTTATTATAAAAGTTGAAAAAAGGTTCTCTAGAGGGTAAAGTAAACTAAACCTCTGACGGATATGCTATTTATTGGCAACGGAAATGATATAATAGTACTTATGTGTCTGTCGGATTATAAAGACGTTCAAATTACACCTCGCTATGTTCAGTAGAAGGTCGAAACCAAACCCCGGGCAGATAAGTGGTTATGGAAGGGGAACATTAATGAAATATAAGAACATATGTGTCCATAAAAACTGAAATGGTCTATATATGTGTTCTATGACGTTTTTAAGGAAGGAGCACAAAACTGAGATATAACAGAAACTTATGTTTTAAATAAATTGGGGAAGAAATATGAACTGAAAAAAAGAGAAACCATAATATTTTTTTAAGATAATACAAGTTACTTCAGGAAGAACATACACATACATATCTACGATAAGAATTGGTAGCATTACAAATTTTCGCTATTTCGATAAGCACACAAAAAGCGATTTATATTTATTAAATATAGTAGTGTATATAATGTGACATGTATAACTAGACGTAGTAATAGTTCTATATATATTAGCATAAAATAGCGACAATCAATTCCATCTAAATACCCTATAATTTAGGTACATCAGTTTCAAGCTCAGACTCACCCTGAAAAGTATAAATTCGAATTATTTAGGAATCAATAAGAGGCGACCGCTCTGCTTCATCCTGCCCGTGGGTGGGCGACGGGCGTGCCTGCCGTGAACTGGGGCTATCCCAAGGCTGCACAGTAACACGTCCAAACACAATAAACACCAGGTTGCCTACGAAGTAGACGACGGCGGTCAAGTAGAAGACAATGCGCCATTGCGTGGGGTCCGTCTAAAAGGAAAGGAGGTTACATAAGTAATCTACAATCTGTGGCCAATCTGTGGCCAATCTGTGACCAACTCACCTCATCCTTAACAATGAGTCCCACAATGAGCGGCGCCAGAATACTCATCACGTTTGCGGCACAGTTGGTGATGCCCATCAGAGTGCCAGCGAAATTGGGCGACAAATCGATGTGGTTCACATGGAAGCCCAAATAGCTGGCCGCATTGGTAGCCACAGCTAAGGTGAGCAAGCCAATAGCCAGTTTGGCATTCGCATCGCCCTGTGTGATAAAGCCCAGGCCCAGCAGCGCCAGCATGGGCAGCCAGAGGCCAAGCGAATTAAAGAATTTGCGCGAGAAATTAAGCGACATGCTAGTCCCATTCCGCTTCAGCGCATCCGACAGCCAGATGAAGCCGCAGGTCAGTATGATCATGGCGAAGTAGGGCAGCGCCGACAGCGGCCCATTGTGCTTGATGTCCATGTTCAGCACGTTCTTCATGAACGTCGGTATCTGGGTGAGCAGTGTCCAGAAGCCCCAGTTGTTGGCACAATGCGCCAGCAGCAGAGACAGGAATGGTGGCGATGTAAAGATGCGCAGCCAGGGCGTGCGCAGATTCTGATGTGGCGTAAACTCTTCGCGACCCGCATCCGAGGCGCGACGCAGCTGGCCCGAGGTCTCAATGTAGCGCTTCTCATTGGGCGTAATCGTCGGATGCTGGGCGGGCGTGCTGGCGCAGAAGTAAAACCAGATTAAGGCCCACAGAATGCCCGCACAGCCGGAAATATAAAATATGCTCGGCCAGCCCAGCGACGAGGATGCAATGTATCCGCTGACAGAGAGCATAACCACAGTACCAAACTGTGAGCCCGAGTAGCAGTAGCCCACGAGACGCCCGCGCTCCTCAGCGGGCGCCCACTTTGAGAGGAACGTGTGGGTGGAGGGAAAGATGACGCCCTGGCAGAGTCCCTGGACAGCGCGCAGCACAACGACCATTTTCCAGCCGCCGGTTAGCGCACAGAATGGCGTCAACAGCGCCAAACAGGAGCAGATGAGCACTCCGAAGAAGAGCATATACTTTGCACCGAATATTGCGGACAAATAGCCGCCCGGCACTTGGGTGACCACATAGCCCCAGAAGAAGCTGCTCAGCAAATACGATTTGATGCTCTCGTCCCACGCGAACTCCGGAAAATCCGGATTTGTATGATTATTATCCGTCATGGCCACAATCGCCACGGACAGATTCACGCGCATGGCATATGCCACCGCCAGTCCGAAGAATACCAAAATGCATTGCAGATGACGCACACCGAAACGGGGACCTGGCAAAAAAATAAAAACCAAAACAAAAGTTCGTTCAAATGAATCAGTGCAAATCCGGAACTGCAACGAACAAAGGTGCGCTGCGCTCACCTGTATTCCCGATGGTGTCGTAGCCCGTGCGGCTGCAGCAGTCAAAGCAGCCGAGTACCATGTCTGGAGTTACTTTGATGTGTGCGCAATGGCGTCGCTAGCGTGTCTAAACATTTTGCGCAGTAACAAGTAAACGTTGCACTAACAAAAATTAATCTTTGACGCCAACGTTGCTGCTGCTGTGCTGCTTACGTTGCGTTTTGTTTTCGTTCTGCTTCTGTTGTGGTCAGCAAACACAGCTCAGCTGTTGCGGCAGCTGTGTGCGTGTGAGTGCGACTATCGGCACTAACAACTATCGGGCATCAAACACAGCTGCGGCGAGAGTCCAGCTGTGTTTGCTAACCGATAGTTGCGGCTATTGTTTGGCGCCATTTTCAAAAGGTACTCGAAATAAATAGACAAACGTTTTGTTTTACTTTGATTTGTACACAATGGCTGGCCATTATATGTATATGTTTGTTTTCTAAGCATGTCTTCTTTTCTGCCTTTTTTAGTTCATTTCTTTTACGTACATCACAAGTTGGTTGTTTGTTTATTACTAATTTAACTAATTAACTACGGCCATAAGTTAGCTAAGGTATATAGTTTCACTTTAAAACATAACAATTAATAGAGCAGCGTTTATATAGTTACTTAGGCTAGCAATTTATATTTTGCTATTTACATTGTCAACTAGCTTTTTTTTTTGTTATATTTTTTTTTTTTTAAATAGTATATTTTATGTACATTATGGAAAAATACTGGAAATAATAATTTATGCTGCCTACAAACTAAACAATTATCATATGTTGTTATTAATATCGCTAATGGAAGCACGCGATCGTCGTTATGGCAATTTTAAGCACTTGTCCTTTAACCCCTAATTATAGCTATTGTCTTATATTAAGCACTTAGTTTAAGAAAACAACAACTATGACAATATCATGCTCTTCATACATCCTCATATATAAACGAATTGTCGTTTAGTTCAGTTGTAAAGCATGAGAAAGTCCTTAGTCAGGCTGGTGGTCTTAGGGTTTGTCATTTGCGATTTGTCCCGACTGCTGGTCCTTGGCCGCCGCTGCCAGTGGCACGCCCGCCTCCACGCTCTCCTCGTCCACAGGCTCGGGAGAATCCCACCACTGTATATCAGTGCGTCCGAAGACCACGAACAGCAGGTTGCCAACGAAGTAGAAAAAGGCGGCCACAAAGAACACCGTGCGCCATTCGCTCACATTTTCCTGGAATGGAAAATGCAATCAATTAGACAAAAGTTGGGCTTATCCTTGAAACAATTTACTCACCGGATGCTTGACGATCTGACCCACAGCTAGTGGTGCCAAGCCGCTCATGACATTGGCCGCCGCATTCGTGATGCCCATCAAGGTGCCCGCATAGTTGGGCGATAGATCAATGTGATTGACCTGGAAGCCCAGGTAGGTGGCCGCGCTTATGCCCACCGTGAGGGTAAGCAGCACAACGGCCAAGGTGGCACTCTCGCGCGGCACATAGCCGAGACCAATCAGGGAGAGCATGGGTATCCAGTGGCCCACCGAGTTGAAGAACTTGCGATTGAAGGAGAGCGATATGGACTTCTGGTTCTGCAGCACCTTTGACAGCCAGACGAAGAAGAAGCTGAGTATCATCATGACCGTGTAGGGCAGCGAGGAGAGCAGCGAGCTGGACTTGATGTCAATGCCGTAGATGTTCTTCATGTAGCTGGGAATCTGCGTCAGCAGCGTCCAAAATCCCCACATGTGCGTGCAGTGGACAACAAGCAGCGACAGGAACGGCATCGATGTGAAGATGCTGCCCCAGGGCGTGGGCGCCATTTTGCGGGCATCCTGCATTTTGCCCACCGAGCGCGACTCTTCAATATACTTGAGCTCCTCGCGTGTTATGCGACCATGTTCCTCCGGCGTGCTCGCCGCGAATATCCACCAGAAGAGCACCCACACAAAGCCGCAGATGCCGCCGCAATAGAAGATGCCCGGCCAGCCAGCAAAGGAGTCCGCAATGAAGCCGCTGGTGGCCAGCATCATGATGGTGCCGAACTGTGCGCCCGAGTAGCAAATGGTGGCCAGCATACCGCGCTCATTGGCCGGCGCCCACTTGGACAGCAGCGAATGCGTCGCCGGATGCACTGCGCCCTGTGTGAGGCCCTCCAGCACCCGCACCACGCACAGCGCCTGCCAGCCGCCCAGCTTGAGTGAGAGCGGC